GAAAGAGTGACTTTGTCCGGAGAGTACATGCAAACAAACAAAGTTTGGAGATAATCCAGAAAAAGGCTTCAACAGAGAATAGGAATATACAGAATAAGAATATACAAAATTCTGAGAGAAGCCAAATGGAGACATTTCAGGAGCAGATGTGCAGTAAAATGATTATGAAGAGATTGCGATCCAGCTGGATTGAAGATAAAAAAATGTTATGGGTAAAAAGTAGGCATCCAGAAACATTGTTCCATCTGATATTCAGCTAGAACTGAGGAAGTCATGTAAGGCAACACTCAATTAGTTTGGCAACTATAATTTGAACAAATGCTCTTGGGGTAAATTTCTTATGCTACAAAGCAATATGTAGGCGTGGAGTAACACAATCTCTGTCATTTTGGAACTTGCTTATAATCTCTTGATTCAATTTACATTCAATATAGCAAAGAATAAATGTTCTGGGGAAAAATTACAATATAGCAATATATTTGGTAACCAGATGAAAGGTTACACAACACAGCAGGCAAGACTTAGTATGAATTAAATAAATACAACTGCAGTTTGGCATGCCAGTTACTTTAGCTTTTACAACAAAGCAACATTTTGGATCACCCAGCACCACCAGTAATTTCAGGAGGAATAGCTCTACACTGCACTAAGCTTTACATATTCCAAACAATGGTTTGGAAAAAAATATTTTGGCAGTAGATACTTACTACATGCATCAGACATTCTAGTGTTCAAAATCTGGATTAAGCAATATGTTCATATACCACAGTTCCCCTCAACCTTTTATATCAACTGACCCCTACATTTTATTTTTAAGTCACCCTCAAACATTACTACAAATACATCATGAAAACAAGTTAAATAATATGACATCATCGCAGGCTCTCTTTAATAATGTCCTACTGCCTCATATTTATTCCAGCTGAATACGAAATGTTTAACAGAAACAGTTTCATTAGTTGCATTAAGGCTGAAAATGGCAAATGTGAAGTAGTAATTACTATTACCGTAGTAAATTATTTTAATAGAAATACAATTTGAACATAAAATCTGATTGGCGCTCTCGTCTTCTGGAATTTACTAGGTTGCTTTTCATGAGCTACTGCATAATCCAAGGGATAGTTAGACATGAAACAGTGCTCTTAGAACTCAGTGACACCCGCTGGTATTTCTGTTGCAAGTCCATTGATAATCTGATGTAGTTAAAGTAAAGGGCATACTTATAACATTATTGCACAGATGTAGCCTCTCTCCTCTCCAGATCATCACCTCTGTTGGTCAACTAACATGCGATTTTCTATGACTAGCAAGATATGAGTTTGAGGCAATTTGCTAATTTGAGCAGCATATAAAAATCTTTACACTAAAAGTGGTACTATATTTTAAATTTATCACCAACTGTTCATTTATATACAAAAAGTAAAGAAAATAATTCCATTATATTTATTAATAAAAAGCTTCTCTAGAATTAAATATCTAAATTGCACACTTCTGGTCAGCACTGTCATTCTTAATTTTCTTTTTGCTGAAGGACTGGTGCTGGATATGTCCATCTGTTCCCTGATAAGGTCATTTGAATGTCAATAAATGTTGATACAGCAGGGTGGCTGAAATCCGTGTGAAAATTGGATGGAGAACTAGAATTTGATTTTGGGAATCTGATCACCACCAGAAGGTAGTGTTCCACATAAAATCATAAGGATTGTTCCAGAGCTCAGACACTATTGCAGACATGAAAGAATCAAAGGTAAAACACCTTCACTATACAGTGTATTTTTAAAGAATCTCATACTTAGAATTCTTATGTATAAAAGCCCCAACAAGCCAAAAGTCAGTAGAAACTTTTTTGATCACTAGAATTACCTGACAGTAACTGTTTATGAAAGTAAAACTTGATTACAATAATATATTATATTGGCAAACTGAAGCTATTATAGTAAAATCTTTATAATTCCCCCCCACCCCTTTCTTCCTTTTTGCTGATACTCAGTTTCACATGTTATACAGGAATTAAAAGGTAACAGCCAGAACTGCCTTTCAGATTGTCCAAATCTGGACGATTCTTGGAGTATTACAATTTTGGATGATTCTCTCTCACTTCTTCCAATTTAGAAAGGATCCACTGTGGAAGTAAAATGGAGAAAAAATTCTTAGTAAAAGCTGTACAGTGCAGTAGAAAATGTCACTGAGTCAAATATTTCACCACTTAATCACTGCTCCTAATCAGGATAACAACACAACACAAGGTTTAGAGTCTATAATATTATTTCTTGCCTCAGAACTGAAACACCTTAAAATTCAAACTCAAATTTCTTACATGGCAACATACTGGAAACTGCTAAATCACCTGGCTAGGCCAAGACGCCAGCTCTCTAATCTGCAGTTGTATGAACAATGATATTCATTACTATTGTGTAAAAGAGCAAAGATTCCCACAAATCTGAGAGAAAAATCATGATTATTATTTCATGCTATCCAAATAGGTCCTACAAATCACAGATGACAGAATGACACAGTTCCCGTCACCAAAGTGTTATAATTTAAGTTTTAGATGCAACAGAAAAGAATGTGGATTGCACAGATAAGGACAGGATCAGACAATCTTGAGATTCCTGCAATATGATAATATGGCTATTTCATTTAGATACACTAACATCTTAAGATAATATGCATTTATACATATCTACATATAGTAAAATAAATGTACAAGCAAGTCAACGAATACACTGAACATTGATTTCTCCTACAAATAAGTTTAACGTAGATAGAAAGGGTAGTGGCTTGGACGACTAGTTTTGGGGAGGGCAGTCCATCTCCAGTAATCAACATGAAAAGGCAAAATCCTTGTAAGAGGCACAAATGGCATACTGAGGGTGATGAGACTGAAGGTGAAAAACACATCATTTTTGTTGCAGGATTAGGTCTGCCAGGGTGGGTCCTGGCACAGTTGATTTGACTGATCAGCAAAAAACATGTCACCACTGTCTGCAGTGCCAGGACCCTGTCACTTCCAGGGCTTCAAGGGACCTGACTCTTCAATATAAATTGGTTCCAATCAAATAGCTAACTGTAAATACAACTACAAGAAACTATGAGTAGTGACGTATGAATAGTGTTCTGCATTTTCAGTCATTTAAAAAAAATCCGGGAATTTTTTGGGGTTTATCTTTCAAACATAAAAACCAGGTTGAAATAGGGGTAAAGGGAAGAAAAGAGAAAAAATGGTTTAAATCGGGGAAAATAATGACTATGTTCCCATAGCAGGGAGGAGGGAGGGAGGAAGGAAAAAAAAAAAAAAAAAAAAAAAAAAATCAGCAATTCATACAAGACAAGACTAGCCACAGAAGGGGGGGGGGGGGAGGGAAGAAAAAAAAAAAAAAAAAAAAAAAAAAAAAAATCGGTAAAAACTGAAAATGTGGAACACTATGTATGAAGGAGTATCTTAAGGCTTTTATTGATGTATTTTGATTTACTCTACAAATTAACAGACAACTATAGGTTTTTTTTTTTTTTACTTCTGTCCATAAGACCGTAACCTATTTAAACTGTGAATACTATAATACCTTATACACAAATGATAAGGGAAATTTCAGGTTTCAAAATATCCACTATAATGATGGAAGGGTGTTATCACGTTTGTTTAGTTAACATACACAAAACTTTCTCGACATGAGTGTGTTATCTGAATGCTAAGTACATTTTAAGGGTATGTTAAGAGTCACTATTATTTCAAACAGTAGATTTATACTCTAATTGGCAAACAGCACTTATCTCATGACTTGTTCTGAAAAACATAGAATTTGAATCTGTAGTCCATAAGATATTTCCTGTCACTATAAATATGAAAAAATGAAGCATTTCTTCCTTAACAGGTCGAAACTGATGTTAAAGTATTACATTTACCTTGGCATCCTCCGGTGTTCTAAAATTAATTATTTTTCCAAACTCTTTGGCATGAAATACAGATTTAACCCGTTCCTACAAAAGAAACAATTAATAAACTTAACTTTCAAACTTAGTGAATGAGAAAGTATGTCTGAGCAACTGGAGTTCTAAGAGATGTACTATCCAATGCTCAATTTACCTATTGTGTGCACACAGTACTTCATAAGGTAATACGCCATAAGCTCAAACTTTCTACCACCAGTGTCCATATGACATACATATACCTTTAAAAAACTCCTTTTCTGCACTGAAGGCATAACAAACAATACCAACTGTGACCATTTCCTCTCAGTCACCTACAACAGCAAACTACTAGGAACATGGGAATAGAGGACAAACCTTAAAACACACATACATCTTGTAGAACTCCAATTATGATGCAGGTAAGTAACCGTTCATTTTTCTTTGAGCAACAGCCTATATGCACAGTCCATTAATGTTAACTTGTAAGAAGTGGACCCAAGTAATGGAAATGGGAATTTGGGAGTCTTCAGGAGAACAGATGAGACTCGCACAGCTTTGCCAAATGCATCATTTTAACTTAGATGTTCCAATTATAGCATACTGTCTTGTAAATGGACCCTGTCCAATTAGCTATTTTTCACTTGTCAGAAATAGACATGTTCTTTAGCAATCTCTGGGGAAATGAGCTCCAAGTGTGGTGGTCAGTTTCTATTTCAGTTACCACAAAGCTCACACAAGAAATCCAGTTTGGTAGACCCTAAATAGATAGGAAGCTGTTTTTCATTCTCTTGTAATGGAGACAAATAGTTTAGGTGATGCTCTGACTGAGTGGCAGGTGAATGTGTTGGTTCTAATGAAATACTGTGACTGTCTCTTAAAACTATAAACTAAACTCTATAAACTAAAGCCAAGTAGGATTCTTAGTGTTCTGAATTACACAGAAAGACTGGAGAGATGCCAGTCTCATGTGCTCTTCCATCTCCTACTTGTCACTGAATCCTCAATGCTGTAGTTACGGTGAGCTTTGGTAAGAACTAAATGAGTTGAAGAATGATGTGAAGTACTGGGAAGAAGGCTTAGGTAATGATTTTATCTGGAAGTCCTCACACTATCTTCTCTGGCAATTTCTTGGTGGGTTTATCCTGTCTCTGTACAAAGGTAAAAAAAATGAAGGCTTAAGAATCAGTCAGAACTCAAACTTTTCAGGGGACAGCTACACTGGATCAGATAAAAGTCTCCCGGATTTGCTTAGGAGATATATTTGCTGCCATAAAAATCTTGAAAATGCCATGCTTTTGCAAAAGGTGCCATTTCCCAAGGAAATATAAACATCACTAGAGGTACACCAATATACTGGTGCCATATCGGATCGGCACCAATAAAAGGAAAATTAACATCATCAGCTGTCAGCTTTTTTGGCCAGTGTAGCTGATGTCACTGATAAATATAATATGCTTTTTCTCCGGGGCCCCTAGACACTATGTATATGCATGCAGCCGCATGCATGCATGTGGCCAGGAATGCAGCGGGGCAGTGTGGAGAGCAGTGCCCTGTAGG